AATTCTGGGAGTTGAAGTCCACACATCTTAAAGTTGCCAAGGCTGAGAAATACTGGTCTATAGCAAGCAAATCATGGTCCTCTTGTTCCCACAAATGGAATTGCTTTCCACATTATTGGTATTACTGCAGGTTATGTGCACATATTATGTCTGTATTAGTGAGTGTAATGGCTGCTGTATATGGAACCTACAATGCCCCCCTATTTATAATTTTTCCCCTAGAAAATACATATTTTAATTAATGGCTAAAACATTTTTGGGTGTATATTGTATGTAGTTTTTAAATGAAAAGGTACAGCATTATAAATATGTCAATGTTTATTTTCTTTCCAAAGTTTTGTTTACTACCAAAAAGTGCTTTGTCTTTCTACTGCCAAAATACTGGTGTCTGCACTTTTGGATCATTTTTAAAATCAATAGTATCATAATATTGGCTTATAGCCATATAAAAGCATGCTTTTATAGTTCTTTGTCTCCCTTTCATTTCTAGGTAGAAAATCCTTCAAGATAAAGACTAATGTATAAAACAGAGGACATAACGTGGCATACACAATATAGATAAAATGAGTATCTGCTGGGTTTTGATTAGGTCACATTTATGATTGAAAACCCATCCTTCAAATAAAGATGGAAAATAGTGCTGAAAGCATTTATACTCATAGATATTGTGCTCCTCTTCTGTAGGAAGAATTGTATTTTCTATACTCTAAGACAAGAACATCTAAAAACATCAAGATGGGCTCAGTATCATACCTTATAAAAAGCAGGTAAAGGGATTTCACACTAAATTCTTAGTATACAAAATTTATAAAACTATCTTATCAGTTGATATCCAAATACAATTTGAAGTATTGATTTTGAACTTAGGGAGCTCTAAGGCCACCTAGTTGTTTCTGTCCTCATCCATTATTCAAAGTAATTCACAGAACCTTTTCTAGGAATGTTGTTACTATCAATACTACTGTACATGATGCAGCTGTAATACCTATGGTTTTGAAAGATGTGAAGTGTAAATCTCATTATGGGATTATTTTTCTAGAAAGCATTAAAATATCAAATGAATATTCAAATGCAGACAAGAATACTGGTCTAAAACATTTCCCATGTGAGAGTAGCTGCTGTTTCAAAATTAAAGTGCAGCCAGGATAATATTTACTATTGTTTACTATGCCTACAAACATCTATATACTACCTTTTGGTCCTACAAAGGGGCACCATGACAGCACTAAACAATTAAAGTATCATTACAATTAAAAAAATACAATGGAAAAACCAAAGGAGGGCAAAACAAATCCAAATCTACCATAGGTAAGGTTACAATGAGAGCCAGTTTGGTGTAGTGGTTAAGGCATCAGGCTGGAAACCAGGAGACTGAGTTCTAGTCCTTCCTTAGGGACAAAGCCAGCTGGGTGATTTTGGGCCAGTCACTCTCTCTCTCAGCTCTAGGAAGAAGGCAATGGCAAACCACTTCTGAAAAAAACGTTGCCAAGAAAGCTACAGGGACTTGTCCAGGTAGTTGCCAGGAATCAAGACTGACTTGAAGGTACGCACAGAGAAAGGTTACAGTGCACTAAATGCTTGATGGCTGAGAATTCTACCTTCAGGATATGGCCACCAAAAAGCTGTCTTGCATCCCCTACAATGCTCTCTTAGCATTAGGATGCACACCTGAATCACTGAAGGCAAAGATGACAGCCAGGTTCAACCATGAGCAGTAGCCCAAATATCTTGATACAAGCAAGTTCCCACTTACAATGCAAAGTATTGTTTTTATGTTGCATGTACAATATTAATCTTAGACATTTTTGCTGAGAGACATTACACGTCTGCAAACAAAATGTGTGACTAAGATTTAAGTAGCAATTCTTCAGTATCACCTTTATAGATGTGGAGAAATTCCTAATATGACAAAATTCTTCATAGATATCAGTTTCCCAAGACTGTGGTCTTTCTAAAAAACGCCTAAAAGCTTAGCAACATCAAGGTTCAGAATTTTATTTAGTTAAACATACTAGTCTATGTCTTGTTATTTACTCCAACCACTTGGGCAAACTGAAGGATTTTTACTAGGCCTGCTACAAACTAAATTTGGATGCCGTTCCATTCTGTACCTCCTGGCCCTGGAACGCAGAGCAGGGTCTCTGAAGACAACAGCCCGTTTAACTACACATACCTAGATCCACACCAAAAAATGAACCATCAATTGCTAGTCTTACTATAAATACACATAAAGCGCATGGCAACTTGTGATGCAGAAAGCAAACAAGCGAATGCCTTCAGAATTTGTGTGTTTCTTTATCTTTTAAATGGAAACTTAAAATATGGAAAGTCTTTTAAAGCCAGCAACTATTTTGTTTAACACAAAAGTATTTTAGGTATGGATATACGCACAGGTGTTTTTGTTTTTCCCTAAAAGGATCCAGCCCTGGTCTGCACCCTGTAAGGGGAAAGCTACGCAGAAGATGAGGAATTAATATACATATTATAAAATAAAGTGAAAGTAAGACTGAACATTAGGAAGCATGCAATGACCATAAGTTTTTTTTTTTTTTAAAGAATACAAGCTAAGAGATGGGCAAACCATCTCATTTCTTTTGTACTTGGGTTCTAGTTTTCTCATGGAATTCCAAATCAATAGGATTTAATGTTGCTAAAATGGTTTTCAAATTCTGTTCTGAATATAAGCATTCATGCAATAAAGTATACCAGAGACAGACAGAAACATGCAGAACTGTGAACTACTGAAGGACTCTGGACCAAAACAAAGACCTGTGGAATGCTACTTGTCTATCTCGTTGCCGGTGCAGATATGTGGTTTGGCAAGTCATATCCACAGCAACAATATTGGGTTATAAGCACCTTAGAGGATGGAAGTTGAAGATCTAGCAAGCACAACTCTAGAAAACTTGTCTGAGAGAGCAAAAGAGAAGCAAAAACCTTAAATAGGGGAGCAAAGTTCCTTACTTTTCCAAGTATCCAGGCAGAAAAGGTAGTTGCTGGCAAGTAGTTTAAAGACTAAAACTTGTTGACGTTGTGCTTATTAAACTCTGAACTTGAATTTTTGAACCATTATAACTGCAATACCTGAGAACTGTAGACACAATAATATGAACATGATGTCAATTTTTAAGCTGCACTTAAAATATAGCACCTGTAAATACTTCTATTTGCTGGTACAACAGATAGAAAAACTGGAGGTCTGACCAGGCTTACAATGATTTTCAGTAGATATTATATTTTATCCAATGTAATCCTTTACAAGAAGGGAAGTTGCAAATTATAATTGATCTTTAAGTATTGGAGAACTATATTTTCAAAGTACTTATGAAGTACTAGTTCCTAAGTAAAGATGCTAGCAATCTTTGTAGAAAAATAGAACACAACTGCTATGTTAGATAAAAATATATCATGACCAGGAGCGCTAGTTCAGCATAATCTGGACATGATCTGCACATAATTCATAGGTTCAATTCCTGGTGTTTCCAGATAGAGGCTGGAAAGAATCCTGGAGAGATCTGGTTTGTCAATACAGAAAACACTGAATTAAGCATACCAAATATCTGATTTAGTATAAGGTGATTTCCATTATGCCTACAAAATAAATAAGTAAACAAACACACACATTAGATTTATGAGGATTATGCGCCATCAAGTCTTTGTCAGCTTTTAGTGACCACATATATTTTCTCCATGATTCCTCCTAACCTGGCCCTTCAGCTCTTCCAACGGTGCATTCATTGCTAATATAACTGAGTCTTTCCACTGTGCTGCTGGTTGTCCTCTTCTTTCCTTCCACCTTGCCTGGTGAGCTAGGTCTTCGCCTAATGTGTCGAAAGTAGGATAATTTGAGCCTTGTCATTAATTTCTCTAGACAGAACTCTGGGTTGATTTGTTTGATGATTCCTTGGTTTGTTTTCTTGGCTGTCCACAGTATTCCCAGCAGTCTTCTCCAACACCAAAGTTCAAAGACATCAATACTCTTCCTATCCTGCTTCTTCAAAGTCCAACTTTTTCTTCCATAGAGTATCACAGGGAATACCATACCATTCTGATCTTTGTAGGTATAGACACCGCACGGCATTTGAATTAACAATTCCTAAAGACACTTTGCAAATATCTGTTCCCTATGAACAGTATTAAAGAAACAAACTTAATCACAACAGGACTGTAATGCAAAACAAAGACCTTTAAAGGCAACCATTGGAAACATTGGTTAAGATTCAAAGTTGTGACTTTAGGTATCTAAAAACAGATTGATCAACAACCTTCCTATTCCAGAACACCGTATTAAAATTTGGTTTTGAAAGTCCATTTGTTTTCACATTCAGTTTACCATGTGGCATGAAAGGATTCTTTTGGGAAAAAACTAATCAAAGGCATAGAATTAGTGGCATTTTTTTTTGTGAGGGGAGATCCTGATTGTGTATAGATAGATTACACCTCAGACAAAGATCAAAATACTAAAAAACTAGTTCCAGATAACCCAAGAACTATTTTTACTCAACTTCCAGGTTTCCATATGCAGGTGTGGGGATCCAATGGCCTGTGCAGGTATTGTAGAATTATGATTCCTAAGCAACCCCACCCTAAATGGTCAATGATAAGGGATGTTTTAAACAAACATGTAAATTGTTTAAATAAATAAATAAATAAATAAATAAATAAATAAATAAAT